GTCGCTCCACAGCTCTCCAATTCCTGAGTTCACTACAAAACCTGTCTCTTATACACATCTAGATGTGTATAAGAGACAGCTCTCTCTCTCGGCGAAGGTGGGTGGCTGCTTTTGGCACGTGCTGCGTGGCATGGGCCACACACGACGACTCCAACCTCTCTCTCTCTCTCTCTCTCTCTCTCTCTCTCTCTCTCTCTCTCTCTCTCTCTCTCTCTCTCTCTCTCTCTCTCTCTCTCTCTCTCACAACCCGGTCGACTCCCCCTTTCCCTTCTCCCCTGGGGAGCCCTTCCCTTCGTCATAGCCCATTAGAGGCTGCCATTCACTACTCGATGACCTGTTGCCACCGAGCCTTTTTCATTTCTTTTACTGAGACAGTTTTCTTCGGGAAGCCGTTACCTTCTCTGCATAGTTCTTTCTTTCGCGCTGAGTGAAATGACCCACACAGTTGCAGACCGCGTTCTCCGCACGTTTCTCAGAAAAAATGCTGTCCCTAATTAATCTCTTTGCTCAATGAAGATTCCGATTCCGATTCTGAGTCTGTTTGATGTGTTTGCTGAATATATTTTGTGATCAACCAAAATCTTAAATGTGTATGTCAATGGCTTGCTTGACTAGTTTCCACTGTGTGTGCGTCTGTGCATGTGCAAGTGCGCATGTCTTGGGGAGAGAGAGAGAGAGAGAGAGAAGTGCGCATGTCTGTGAATCTCAGTTGGGTGGAGGCCGAGACCGTGTGACAGTGTGACTGACCGTGCGACCGTGTGACAGTGTGACTGACCGTGTGACCGTGTGACTGAGAATTGTCCGGGGGGAGCTGTCAGGACCGAGATGGTGTGTGATCGATGACGGCCAGAGTGCAGTTGTCCGAAGTCGCCTTCAATTATAAGATTATAAGAGTGCCTCCTCTCTCTTCTTCCTCCTCCTCTCTCTTCTTCCTCCTCCTCTCTCTTCTTCCTCCTCCTCTCTCTTCTTCCTCCTCCTCTCTCTTCTTCCTCTTCTTATAAGAGTGCCAGTGCTGTTAAGCAGGTCTTGGTCTTGTGATGTATGAATCAAGTAGTCCGCATCCAATCTGCCTCTGCACATGTAGTCTTGTAATGTATGAATCAGGCAGTTGCTGCTCACCAAGGGAGCTGTCGGAAGCAGTGCCGTCATGTGAGCCGTAACGCTGGTCGTGCATCTTGTAGCATTTCCTGAAAGACAAAACCCCAAGAAGAAATCGAGCAGCACGTGTCAGAATAACTTCATGGACAGTGTGGCAATCTCTCTCTCTCTCTCTCTCTCTCTCTCTCTCTCTCTCTCTCTCTCTCTCTCTCTCTCTCTCTC